ACATGATGTATGACAAGCTATTCTACATAAATCACACGATTACAATTTTCTGAAGAAAATAACCTAATAGTGGAGATCAAATTAGGGACAGCTTAGTCTGGGAATGCTACATTAAAAACAAGACTGAAATACAAGGTCATAAGCTATTCAGAAACCTGTAAGTTTGAAGGTCATTGTGGTAGGTGCACGTGCTACGGCCAGACTGTCTGTAACCCATGTTAGCATCACGTCGAGTTTAAGCATAGAGTACTTTTTTGATGAAACCTACAATGGAGTGTTATTATTTGCTTCAAAAGTTACTTTCACTCATAGATTATACATGAATATTTTTGAGGAGCTTTACTTAACATGGCACGTCAACTAGTTTCCTTCTCCAAATTGTATTAAGATTTTTTCGTGTAAATAAGCTTTATGTAGGATTGAAGAATAACTGATAGAATTAAAAAACGTTCTTGTCCTTGATTGGTGCTTAAATGGTCTTGAAGCTAACACACGGTTAAGGTGGACGTGTATGATAGTTCTGGAAAGCTTTGAATTTGTGAAAGGAAATCGCAGATTATAGACTGGCTTATGTAGAATTTTGATAGTGATAAACTCATCAGATTACTCACCAATAATGGATTCGCGAGGAATAGAATAGAGTGTAATATTGGTGAGAACATGCTGTCATGCATATACAGTACTCCTAAGAATGAAGTGAAACTGATATGTACATCAGCTGGAATCGAAAATCTATGCACACTGCTTCTTTGTTTACTTTGCCACTGTGACAAACTACGTTGTCTATTTTATAGTTGATAACTGGAACTTGTTACCATAATGGTGAGATGAGTGAATGTAACAGAGACAACTACTCTGCAGTGATATCAGCAATACGTAGATATTTGTTCCCAAACTCTTTGTGAAGCGAGTACAGTCTTCGGTAACCAGTAGCAAACAGTGAAGGTAGACGAAAAACCAGTGAGGATGAGGGAGCACGATCATTATAGAAATGCAAGGAAGGAACAGAT